CCTTAGCAAAGCGCATCCCAGGCTGCATAGCCGCACTACCCTACCCAACCATACCACACATAAACATGACACTACCCCCGGGGTTTACACAGACGAGCCGGCGAAGCAAGAAGAGCGCCAGAAGAAAGGGCCCTAGCCGGCGGGGCCCAGCCAGGACAAAAGGAGGTCCCACAAAGCGCCTACACCGGCCGCATTTGCGGTCGGGGTAGACGACGGATGGGGCCCACCTACGAAGGCTGTCCAGGCCTACACGAGATGAGGCAGGATAAAGAGGGATAATCCCCCTCGATCCCAAATCATTGAGGCCAATTTCTAGCCATAGAATAATGGCGCGATGTTTTAGATACATCGCGCATCCCTAAACCGTAGCCTCAAATCCATCACCAATAATTAACAGCTACTGTGCATGTGCAGCAACTGTTTGTTAATATTCTGTGCGGCGGCTAGCGACACAGATTCCACTTTGGCTTCCACATTGCGCGCACACTCAAACCGTCAAACTCGTTAGTTTCCCGGGCGTATTTAAAATATTGATATTTAGGTATATCATGTAGGTTTAGGGAAATAATATATTGAATTATATTTTTAATTTTTGTTAGGCAGTTGAACACATAAAAGGTACCTATCTAAGATTTGCATTATATTGGCTGTATGAAATTAACAAAAAATAATGTTTTATTGAATGCCTACTATTTTGATTTCAGAAAAAATATTTTTTGCTCAATTCATACGCTTGCGCTTGTTCTGCCATTTGACAAAGAGAGTAACTGTTAATACTGTATGATTAAATTATTTTGTTGATAGTTAATGAAGATTTTATATTAGCAATGATCTTAAACACAATTCTGAGTTTTTGTTATTCATTGTTAAAACCTTAGGCAAAAAAAACACTTGTAAAAATAAAGATATTTATTTTTTAAATAAGCATATTTAAGGCAATATTATTTACTTCAATATTATCTGGCTTCGATAACTGATCTTTTTTTCTATTACCTGTTTTCTTGGTCTTAAAAAGTCGTCTCAGTTGGGACATATTTTTATTATGGGCTATACTTGTATCCAATTTTTCGCACACTTCTTCATTGTTAAAATTTCTGAAAGCTGAAAAAAAAAACAGTAGCCCCTCTGTTGCCCACCTTAACAGCTTTCAGAAATTTTAACAGTGAAGAAGTGTGCAAAAAATTGGATACAAGTATACCCCATAATAAAAATATATTCCAACAGACACGACTTTTGAAGTAAATAATATTGCTTTAAATATGCTTATTTAAAAAATAAATATAATATTTTTACATGTGTTTTTTTTGCCTAACAGGTTTTAACAATGAATAACAAAAACTCAGAATTGTGTTTAAGATTATTGCTAATCTACAATCTACATTAACTATCAATAAAATAATTTAATCATACAGTTACTCTCTTTACCAAAACCTACATGATGTACCGAGGCCGACAAGCTCGTCGGCCTCGTGATATACCTAATATCAATATTTTAAATACGCCCGGGAAACTAAACGAGTTTGACGGTTGTTGGAGCATACACGCAATGTGGAAACCAAAGTGGAATCAGTGTCGCTAGCTGCCAGTATAAGATAGGAACTCCCAATTCTCAATCCCAATTAGCGATCTTGAAGAACTCGAACCTTATGGTTTCGCAATAAAAAGTCGTAAAATTTTTACTGTAGGTACGAGATAAACATGATTGATTATAATTGATATTATCAATATCTTCAAATCAGTTTTGTTTTAGTACTGATAAAAAATGGTTCACCAATTAATTTATTAAGATAAGGTTTAAAGTCCCCTATCCAAGGACATTTAAATAAAGGGGACTTATTTATTTACATTTCTAGATGAAGCCTGGTCTATTCACAGTCTAATTGTATCATTGTTGTCAGCTGTATAATTATACTGGAAATGTACTTAATATTTTTATCGCAATTTTCATCACAATTGTGAAAATTATTATTATAGGATAGTATTATTAAGTTATGCATACAATATTGTTAAATTCTGTACATATTAAACTATTTTTCATTTTTCATATTTGCCATGTTTGAAGACTTGGCAACTACGCAATAATTTGTAGCGTGTTCCTCGTTCGTTCTGCCGTGGTTGGCAGAATATGGCGTCTCTTGTTAGAAAATAGTTGTGATTTTAGTAAGTGAAACGTGATTAGTGTTTATACATGTATTTTGGATAAACTTTTAAGGTGTGAATATGGTTAGACAGTGCAGAATTTGTAAGAAATTGGATTATAAACATCCACATCAGCTATCCTTCCACAGGTAAGCGTGCTTGAAGGTGACTTTGGAATGTATATGCAACTGTGGCCATTGTCGTGCGTGTGGGTAACTTTTATTTGAATAACGGTAAAATTTTATAAAACTGACTTGGTATTTTTTTAAAATTTTTGCTGAAATAGTAAGAAAACAATAATATGAACCACGTTTGGCCATTAAAATCAAAGGAAAATGCTGCACCACAAATAAGTTACAGACATTATTTATATTTAATATATTTATAGGTATTTCAATGTTATCCCTTATACCCAACATTACAAATTTTAATCATTCATCATTTTCATTTTCCTCTACGACAAAAACCTTTTCAAAAATATATTTACAATTTTACTAAATGCACGAGCATAAAAACTGAATAAATACAACAGCAAAAATATGGTGGTGGTTCACTTATACATAAAAATACCGAAGATGCAATCAACTGAAAGTTGCATTCATTCAACCATTTGATGTTCTCCTTTGGGAATATATTTTTATGTCTCACTGAAAATTTGCCTCAGTATTCTAAAAGTGAAATGTGAACGTTTTTAGGATGCTTGGGGATGGTGCAACAAGAAAGAAATGGTTACAGTTATTGGGATTCCAAGAAGTTATAAAAATATTATATATATTTATTATAAAAATACTGAGTAGCTGTTGAAATATATTGACTTAGGACTATAAAATATTTTATTTTGACCCATCCAAAATGTACGACATTGGAGATGTAATCGCGCGCATCAGTTGGATGAAAATAAAGCCCTCTGCTTTCCCCTTGTCTAGCTTCACCCAACATATGAGATAGACTGTGACATGCATAGTCCCCTTTATTTAAATGTCCTTGCCACTATCCAACCTACAATTTACTCAATTCTCAAACTGTTTATATCATTGAAAGTAAAATTAGCTACATTTTTATCACACACTTATATTTTTTAGTTCTTAGATTATAAGAAAATCTTATAGAGATGGCAACACTGGAATGTGATTATATCCCCATTTACCAACATTCGTCGGCGACAGTAAAGAGTAAACAAGTTTGTTTTTTGTTGGATGGTTTGCGTATATACAATGTGCATGTAGGAATTCTTTCACATTCAGATTTTGTTTCCTGTCACACGTTATTTTCAAATAAGAAGCATGTCGTAAGTTCGTAACTAGATATACCTACTATAACTTCCCTGTGTGCCAGTATTTTTGTTTATTTAATATTTATTTTTTAGATACAGTTTTACCTATCCCAACTCAAATCTATCGGAGGAACAGAAGCAGTTTTATGAGAAAAATGGGTATCTTTTAATAAAGAACAATGTTAGTGAAAAACTTTTAAATACTGTTTGGTATGTTAATTATAATTAAATTGTAAGAAAATTTTTTAAAGGTGTTTTTTTAGTCAAAGGTTTATAGACATTTGCGACGGAAAAGCTGACGCTGCTAATATTACGACTGTTATGAAAGACCCGTCTTTAAAAAATAAGGATGTCCAAGGGCAGTATCTTATAAACAAAGTAAGTGTAATCATTATTTACCAAGCATATTAGGATATAATATGAAGCTATGCAGCGTCTCTAAAATATGACTTAAATTATTATGCTTATAAAATATGAAAAGTGTGATATATTAATTACATATTGATGGAATTGTAATTAAAAATACTATCTGGAACAACTAAGATATATATACTGGTGAAACCGAAAGTTGAATGATTATTATCAAAAATAATAATAAAAAATAATAAAATATTAGTTTTTTTTATCATATTTTTTTAAATTGTTCACTTGTTTTTTTGATTGCGCATTTTGATTCCGAAGGACTTTTTATGTATATATTTTGTCCCAATTAAGTATCTAATAGTAAAGGAGTAAATTGCAATAAAAACACCCTGTACATACAGAAAACATATTTAAGTTTTTTATAATTTTACACTAAAAATTTTACACTGCAATTTCTTCAATCTGTGAAATGTAACACCTTGTACTTATTTAATGATCTAATTTTATAGATACATATTTTTATTTTACTTAACTTTTATTAATTAAATTTCTATGGTTATTTTCATTAATTTTGGAGGACTTCTATACTCCGCGGTCGAAATTATAGAGTGACTAATCGCTAGCTTTTGGACTAGTAAGGGGGGATGAAGCGTGCCGGGAACGAAAATCCGTTGGCGTGTCTGCGTAAAAGGCAACAAGATATAGAAAATATTGAAAAAAGATAATAAAACATAACATCTAATATTTTTTTATGGTTTGCTATAACCGGCACTTTGATCCATTTTAATTATTACAGCATTTTAAAACGTCCCAGTTGTGTTTTTTTAAATTATAAATTTATTATAGCCATGGAATTAGACCCCTCGTCTACGCTTATGCTATGACGTTTCTCAGGTCGGGCAAATCAAGTCCGTTTACACCCAACTAAAAAAGCATTTCCCTATTCCCTACCAAGTGCAAAAGACAGAGATAGAATATAGATCGACGTTCAGTGTAACTCAGTCTATAGACGATTATAGATTCTATCAATGTGCGTAGCGAGCGGCACAAAGATAAATAATATTGAACCGTATAAAAATCATTTTATATTATACGCATTACGGTAATAGTGTTTTAATATTATGTCCGAATTACTCTCTATAATTTCGACCGCGGAGTATATAAATCTGTTAGAAAAAGCATAGTATCATTCACCATTTCACTATTAAATCTGTACTTATTATTAATGCCAATAGATATTAGTAAAATTAAATCTGACCCTATAGTCTAGTCTAGTTATTTGAATCAATAATTCAGAAACAACAAAAACAATTTAGGTATTAGAGACCGACCGAATGTGATTTTTTTGGCAGAAGCCGAAGCCGAACTCTGCCGGTTTATGGGTCACCTTCGGCCGAAGCCGAAGATATTTTTAACTTGAAAATTTTAATTAATAACAAAAATATGATAAAATAACATAAAAGTATGTCAAAAATAAATGTATAATGTTTTGGAAATATAATATATATAGGGTGTTAATTAAGTATGTACAATAAATTCAACAGACGATTATTTGAGTGATTTTAATACAAAAAGTTCATATAAACATTGGTCCGCAGATGCTTCGTTTTCAAGAT